GGTGTGTGGGGTGGGTGTGTTAAGGAGTGGTGGGTGGGTGGGTAAGAGTGGTGGGGGGGAAGCGGGGGGGTGTGGTGTGTAAGAGTGGGAGGGTGTAAGAGGGTGGGTGGGTGAGAGTGTCGGGGGGGTGTTGTATTGTGTTGGGTTGTCTAACTGGGGTTAGTTGTAGTATGCTGCTGCGTTGTGTCGTGGTGTGTGGGCTTATCAATCATCTGGTTTTTTCTCTTTTTCTTTCTCCTCTTCTTCTCTCTCTCTCTCTCTTGCTCGTTGTGTCTGTGTTCTGTTGTATCTACTCTCTGGTGTCGGTCTGTGTGCTCTGCTCGGTGCGTGCTGTGCTTGTCGGTAAGATGCCAAGGGTGCTTTACACCACCGTCGAATCGTGACTACGATCAAGCGGCTAAGGCGCTAGGCGCGAGACAAAAGACGTGCGACGCGCCCACACCCCACCCTGCTTTATCTTCTCTCTCTCTCTCTCTCATCTGCTCTCTCTCTCGTCTCTCTCCTCTTCTCTCTCTTCGTGGTGTTCTCTCTCTTCTCTCTCGTTCTTCTTCTTCTGTCTTCTTTTTTTTTTCTTTTTTCTTCTTTTCTCTCTCTCTCTCTCTGCTGGCGTCGTAAGCGTTCTCTTTGGGCTGGGGTCTCTTCTCTCTTTCTTCCGTTGGCCTGGAAGGTGGGGCATGGCAAGTCCTCTCCCGCCGTGCTTGAGGCGGTGGGTCAGTGTGAGGGCCGAGGGGCGATGCCTGTCCGTTTTTGAGCGTGTGTGTGTGTGTGTGTAAGCGTGTGTGTTGTGCTGTAAGCGTGTGTGTGCGTGTTCTCGCGCGCGCATGCGAATATCTATCTATCAATCTATCTATATATGTACACACAGGCACATATACTGCACATACACACATACATACGAATAAATAATGAAAGAGTGAACACGAAATCAGCAAACCTTATCACGATCAGGCCATTCTTTCTGCGCTGCACAAGACAGCACACGAACCAGCCACAGCCGCCCCTCTCGTCTTGCGGTCAAATGCAATATCAAATATCAGACACATGCAAGCGATGGCGCAATGAACAAGCTGTCTGTCTGTTTACTGATGATTTTTGTCTCTTAACAAACAGCAGAGGAGGAGGAGGAAGGAGGATGGAATATTTGATTAAATCTGTACTTTCAAATCGTATCTAGCCTTTTATATAAAAAGAAAAGAAAAAAAAAAAAAACGAACTTAAGATTCCTGCTGAGTCAAAAAAGTTTGTTAACCAAGTGAATAAATGAATAAATTATGAGAAGCAGCTCCACCTGGAACAAGCAGGAGGGGGAGAGTTGGTAAACAGCAATTAGTTAAGAACACGCATTGTCTTTTGGAGGCAAACACAAGTCCCACGTGGTTTTCTATCGTTTACTTGAACTTCTTTTCTTTTTCATACAACTTCTTTATTTACGTTATCTTTCGGTGCTTAGGATAAATATGTGAACTTTACCAATCGGAAATATTGGATGTTACGGAAGAAAGAATATAAACAATCGACTTCCTTACCACGGTTTTCTGTTCCACCTGTGAGCCTTTTCTGACTAACGTGAGTATATATTACAAGACATCACATAAATACGGCGATGGAAACATAATGACGAAGCACGAACTTTGGAGATGAAATTAAACAAAAAACACGACAACGACTTCTAAAACATGCAAGAGGACACTGTCCCGAAATTCGCGACGGAAGTTTGATCATATAATGTCATGCAGGGGAATTTTCTGCTCCCTTTGGCCAAGTCCCAAACTTCACTTGATCCTAAATCTCCTCCTCTGGAGATCCTCCCCCGTCATTTCCTTCCGTTCGGGGGAACTTAGAATAACGAAAGGGAACAGCATGAACAGAAAGACAGGGACGAAGGAGACATGAAAAGGAGTAAGAAAAGGGCACAGACGATGGGGCGATGGGGTGGATGGAGAGTGGAAGGAGGAAAGGGAAAGGAAGGGGGAAGAAGAAAGGGAAAAGAACAAAGAACAAGAATGAGAAAGAGGGAGAGGAGGGAGGGTGGTGGTAAAAGGAATTGGAGCGAATGATGAAAATAGAAAAGAGACAGGGATGAAGAGAAAAAACAAAAGAAGAGAGAGAGGGGGGGAGAGGGAGGAAGGATGGTAGATGATAATGGCCGTGCGGCGACACGAGCGCCGCATGGCTCGGCGAGGCCCAGTCGTGGCTCGCCAGACTAAAGCTGTTTCACCACGGGGCTGCATGCACCCTATGCAACACTGCCTGTGCGTTGCCACTCTAACGTGAGTTCCTGCACCTGGGCCGCAAACAATTTATTTTTCTTGCATTTGCATTTACATTACGTCTATGAGCACGTCAAGTTACACAAACGCATTCCAAGAGGAAGTCTCTGTCTGTGTCTGTTCCTTTGTTCCGCTTTAATCTATTTCCCCTATCCTTTCCTATTTCCTATTCTTTTCCGCTCCCTCTCACCTTTTTTCTTTCTTTCCTTCCTTCCCTTCCTTCTTCCTTCTTTCTTCCTCTCTTCCTTCCTTCCTTCCCTCCCCTCCCTCCTTCTTCTTCCTTCCTTCCCTCTCTCCTTCATTCCATCCTTCCTCCTTTCCTTCTTTCTTTCTTTCTCTCTCATGGTCATACGGCCACATTCTTTCTCAAGCATATCGCGTTGAATTCTTCCCAGAGGGTATTTACCTAAATCTAATATTTGGATGAAGAGGAATGAGCAAATGAATGCCGTATCTTCTTCTAACGATAACTTAAAATGCGAACGTTTTATTCTAAAATATCTTAAAAGGAAAAAGTTTTTTTTGAAATGAGATGAGGATTATCAATTTCAAGGAATGCAAAAAAGAAAAATAGGAAGAGAAAACACACAACAACAACCAAAGTCATCAGGTCTTTTATTTCGTTACAATGTCTTGGCGTCTTAAAGAGACTGATGTCAACCCTTTCTGAATTCCTCCTCTCATCCCTTCCTCCTGCCTATCTATGACCTCCTCTCCTTGCCGAAATCCTCTTTCCCACCCTACCCCACCCCCAACGCCCCTTCCCGAGATCCGGTTTTCCCCGCCCACATCTGCCTTCATTTCTTGATGTTCTCCTTCTTCGCCAATGTTCCTTCCCGAGTTCCTACTTGCCTCTCCAACGTCCTCCGGCTTCTCTTCCTCCTTATCCCGACTTCTTTCTTGCCTACCCGGTATCCAACATCTCTTCCTGTCTCATCCACGTCCTCGTTCCCTTTCTGACGTCTTCTACCTTTCAAGAGATCGTCCGTGCCTCACCGAGGACGTCTCCCTCCCCGCCCCCCATGACCTCCTCCTCTTCCCGTATTACTCCTTTCCTCTTCGACATCTTCCTCTCACTCGCGACTTCCCCCTTTCCTTCTCGACGTCCTACTCTCCCTCTCGACTTCCTCCTTGCCCCCCCCCCCCACGTCCTCCTTACCCTCCCGGCTTCCTCCTTCTTTTCCCCGACGTCTTCTCCCCCAAGTCCCCCTTGCCTCCCCGACGTCCTCCTCCATTCCCTGGCCGATTCGAACTCGCCCAACAAAGCCTTACTCTTTACGGTCGCCACCGCCAACGCCGCCGCCGCCGCTCGGACACAGCAAGTTACGTGCCGAGTATTGCATAAATAAGTCATAAATAGATGGAAAATCACGAAATATCATTTCAAGAAAACGTCGGCAATAATTCATATTTCGGAAAAAAAAACACAGAACAAACACAAGGCTTACCACGAAGCCCCTCGTCTTCGGAGCTTCCCGATCGCAGAGGGGGAGATAAAAAGTAATAAGTTAAGCGTCTTTGAGGTGATGGGAAAGGTGCTTACAAAAGCTCTTCGCGGAGGCTCCTCTTTGGGGAAGATTTTGCACGCCCAACAGGTGAGGGGGAGAGGGAGAGAAGGAGAGGAGAGAGAGAGAGAGAAAGGGGAGTTTTTTCAACTGTCATTTTCAAGCAAATTCTGGAATAGCTTCTAAATGCACGCTTTCATGAACATTAAATATACGTAGTGATTAAAGAAGACGAGACAATTTGTTGAGAGGACGGTACAGGTGCAAGGATGGGCGAAGGAGTATTACGCCACTTTTCATATCTTAAAAAGACTCCCAAGCACACCTCTCTCTCTCTCACTCTCACTCTCTCTATCACACACACACTCTCACTATCTATCTATCTATCCTCCCTCTCCTCTCCCTCTCCCTCTCTCTCTCCTCTCTCTCTCTCTCTCTCTCTCTCTCTCTCTCTCTCTCTCTCTCTCTCTCTCTCTCTCTCTCTCTCTCTCTCTCTCTCTCTCTCTCTCTCTCCCAAGCATACCCCTGCTCTCCCTCTCTCTCTTACTCTTTCTGTCTCTCACATATATTCACATACATACACACATATCGCGCACCTGGACAAAACATGCCCAAATAAACGAACATACGCATAACACGTACTACGGCGTTCGACCAGCATCTCTCCTTTCCTATCGAGGAAGCCTTGGAGGCTGCTGGAGCATCTCCCCTCTAAATCCCGGGCTCCGAAACACCGTCCCGGAATGCGGGAATGGGGGGGGGGGGAGCGACGGCGACGACGACGACGACTGCAGCAGAATGGTGACTTCGTTTCCGTTTTCTCCGGGTTCCGGTTTGGTGACGTTTCTCAAGATACCTGAGATTACGTTACCCCGAGAACCGCTGCGTTCCGCGTCGCATACTCTTTGTGTCTCTTGTCACCCCCACTTTTTTTGTCATGTCACGCTCTAAGTTAAACCAGCTGGTCTCCTTCGCAAAATATGCGAAACTAATTCCTTTCAGAACGGCCGACAGTTCCTTTTAACCTAATTTAACCCTATAATCTCTGCTCTCGTTCCATCACTCCCGCGCCTCCGATCGAATCAATACCGCGCCCCCTCTCTCCTCCCTGCCTCAGGCATTCCCCATCCTCCCGAGGCAAAGATACGACACCATTAATCACAAACTGCTAGTGGTAAAGTCCCTCGCGCCGTGTGTTTGATGGCCTCTCCTAGAGCCAACTCACACCGCCCTCGTCCAGCAGCAGGGAGGTTCTCGTCGCAGCCGCCCTCGCCTGCCCAGTACGCGGCAAGGGAACGGCACCGCCCACGACCAATATATTAATTTCGACGTCGTCAGCGCCTTTGTGGCCGCAGGAGCAAGTGCCATAATGCGGCGGCGGCCAGGCTTGCGTTACCAGGAACTAACAACAGCGAGAAACAAAAGTTTCATAATTAGATAGTGCCAACAGGACGCTCCGCCTCGACCATCAGGAGAGAAAGCAGGAATGAGGAAGAATGCACAACGGGGACGAAACGAACCGCTCTTCTTCCTCGTCCTCCCTTTTCCATTGTCTTCTCTTTCCTCTTCCTTTCCTTTCCTTTCCTCCTCCTCCAGCCTCCAGTTCCAACAGGGAAAAGAGGACGCCCTGGGGGACCAGCACGCGCCCTGCGAGCATCTCCTTTAACGCCTTTAACCTTGCCCTGACCAGCACTCGGCCGACAGAAAAAGTCATGAGAACACCGGGAAGGAGACCGACGCAGACTCGCTCGCCTTATACCGGGCAAGGGGTGTCGGGGATGAGGAAGGAGCAAAAAGAAGATAGAAATGCTGAGTAGGCAAAGGAGGACAAAGAAACTGAGGTGAAATACAGTGAACAGAAATTCACTACATAGTTAAACGTCAAGGTAGACGAAGAAACAGCGAAGTGGGAGAAATGCACATACAAATTCATCCTATGTCCTTATAAATTGCTATCACTGATTCCTCGGTCGCGTTGGCGGCCTTTTCAGAATTCCCCCACAAGGCGGTTCAAGGCAAGGAGGAAGACATCTGCCCCCCCCCCAAAAAAAAAAGAAGAAATGTGAATATAAATGTATGTGTAAATAATAATATAATAATAATAATAATAATAATAATAATAATAATAATAATAATAATAATAATAATAATAATAATAATAATAATAATAATAATAATAACAATAATAATAATAATAATAATAACAACAACAACAACAACAACAACAACAAACAATAATAATAATAATAATAATAAAATTAAACAAAATCGCTCATGTAAAATGAAACGGATTTCCGCATGGGACTCCACTGCTCGGGGCTTCGGTGGTGCCATGGCGGGACGGGTACTGGCAGTGCCATGGCGGGACGGGTACTGGCAGCGCCGCCTTTGCCTGATTCGATGCCTGTCCTATCATCAATCGTCGTCCAGCTCGGGGACGCACGAGCTCCACACGGGAGGTGAGTGCACACCCCTCAGCCACTGCGCCGGCTAATGAATGAACCCGGATTTAATTTAACAACAGCCATGGTAAAGAAAATGCAGCCCATGGCAGCGCAAGTCGTTAACGAAGCGATAACGCTTCGCTGGGCCGGACGTCCCCGGCCACTGCAGCGAAGATAACCCAGATGGTAATGACATCGAGCTTCAGCCACAGGTATCATGAACTTCATGGCCCTGGTTTTAACTGTTTCACCCACTCTCGCTCCTTCTCTTTCTCTCCTTTTCTGCATCTCATTTGCTCATTTACTCTTAAACAGTCAATGAATCAACCGCTCTGTTTCCTCACTTTACCTTCTAAACACGCAATAAATAAAGGATTTTCTACTTTTTTTTCATATTTCGCCCTTCGTGTCTCCCTCTCTCTCACTCTTTCCCATCATCTACATTCCTCCCCACCTCTTTCTCTCTCCTTCTTCTTCCCTTCCTCGCCCTCTTCCTCCTAACATAACAAACAAGCACACCTACATCACGGACTTCTCTCCTCCTCCTTCTCCTTTTCTTCTCCAACTCCTCCTCCTCCTCCTTCTCTCTTTCTCCTCCCTTCTTCCCTTACTTTAATCTTCACCATCCTCTCACTCCTCCTCCTCCTCCCTTCTTTCAATCTTCCTCATCTTCTCCCTCCTCCTCCTCCTCACTTCTATCGTTCCTTCAATCTTCATCCTCTCCCTCCTCCTCCTCCACCTCGTCCTTCTTCTTACCTCGTCCCATAAGAAAAGGGAGAGAAGAGAAAGAAAAGACGGAATCAGGAATCAGCGAAGGGGGTCGGGCACTCATCGGACGTTCTCC